AGTCTCGCCTTTCTTCAAGTCATCTCTCTTCCAGTTTATGCTTAATTTTGGTTGCTAACACTTGCTTTTATATTTTATATAGAATTTATCACTGTTTTTGACTGGAGGGTTAACCCAAGCTAAATTAGCCCCGCGTTATAGGAGGCAGAAGAATTGAGCTTTTAAACTGTGGTGCTGGAGATGACTCTTGAGAGTCTTAGACAGCAAGGAGATCAAACCAGTCAATCCTAAAGGAAATCAACCTTGAATATTCATTGAAAGGGCTGATGCTGAAGCTGAAGCTCCACTACTTTGGCCCACACTGCTTTGATATGAAGAACCGACTCATGGGAAAAGACCCTGATGCTGGGAAAGATTGAGGGCAGGAGGAGAAGGGGACAGCAGAGGATGAGATGATTGGATGGCATCACTGACTCAATGGACATGAGTTTGAGCAAGCTCCGGGAGATGGTGAAGGACAGGGAGGCCTGGCGTGCTGCAGTCTAAGGGGCCGCAGAGCGCTGGACGCGACTGGGACTGAACAGCGACGACAGGAAGCGGAGCTCTTCAGTCCTTCTCCAGCCTCCCTGCCAACGCTGCTGGCCCTCTCACTTACTTTGAAATAACACACTGTCTGTGTTTTGTGGACACTGTATCTTTCCTTACCTGTCTGAGGATATTAATGATAGTGGATTCTGTTTCTTGAGTTTTCTTCATGAGGAATCCATTCTTCCAATTTGCGTTTTTCTCTGTTTTGGTCTCTAACGGTTGTGTTGGAGGTTTCTTCCTGGTGACCTTTGGTTGTGTAATAGTGTTTAAGAGTAGGACGCTAAAGTCAGATGGGAGCTCTGTGCCTCAGCCTGCAGTGCACCTCGCAGAAAGCTGATCAGACCAGGCTGTTTGCTGAGTGGCCCGAGGGTCGGTATCCTCAGGTCTGTTCTGTGGGCTGGGCAGATTTCCCAGAGAAGATGCTTACCATCTATCTTAGTCCATTCAGGCTCCTGTAGCAAAATACTACAGATGGGTACTGTAAACAACAGAAATTTGTTATAGTTCTAAAGGCAGGGAAGTCCATGACCAGGGTGCCAGCATAATTGGCTTCTGATGAAGGGCCTGTTGTGGGTTGCAGACTGCTGTCTTCTTGCTGTGTCATCACATGATGAAAGGAGCTAGGGAGCATGTGGGGTCTCTTTTATAAGAACATTAATCCCACTCATGAGCTTCCCAGGAGGTGCTAGTGGCAAAGAATTCATCTGCCAATGCAGGAGACACAGACAGGGGTTTTATCCCTGGGTAGGGAAGATCCCCTTGAGTAGGAAATGGCACCCTATTACAGTATTCTTTTTTTTAAGTCTTCATTGAATTTGTTACAATATTGCTTCTGTTTGTTTTTTTGGCTACAAGGCATGTGGGATCTTGGCTCCCTAAACAGAGATCGAACCTGCACCCCCTGAATTGGAAGGCAAAGTCTTAACCACTGGACTGCCAGGGAAGTCCCCCTATTGCAGTATCCTTGCCTGGAAAGTTCCATGAGCAGAGGAGCCTGGTGGGCTACAGTCCATGGGTTGCAAAGAGCCGGACATGACTGAGCATAGCACAGCAGTCCCATTCATAAGGGTTATGCCCTCATGACCTAAGTACTTCCCAAAGGTTCTGAATTCTAATGCTGTCACACTGGGCATTAGGACTTCAACGTATGGATTTTGTGGGGACACAAACATTCAGACCACAGCATAGTCTCTTTTTCAGAGGATGAAGTTTTGGCTACCTGCTTTCTGGGAGCTCAAGGGGAAGAAGGCTGGAGGTCTTACCATTCAGTGGATTTGCGTTCACGTGATCCCTCAGTCTGGGCAGTGGCAGCCCTGCTTGGTGCCTTGTGTTCCCTAGGCCCGCAGCCCCCTATTTGGTCCTCTTTAGAGAATAACTATCCAGGCTTGTAGGAGGTGGGGAGCTGCCGAGGGGTGTGGAGTCAGAAGAGCTTCTAGGAGTCCAGCAACCTCAGACAGCTTTCAACTGATCTCTGCTGCAGTCTCCCCTCCCCGGCCCCCCTCGAGTGTCTGGTATCCATTCCTGAGCTATTTTGTGCACACTGGACTCGCAGCTTTTCACACTGCCAGCTTCAGGTTTGGCTTTCTTGAATGCGTGGGCTGTTATCACTTGTTTATCTGTTTTCCAGACTCTAGAATCCTGATGGTGGTTTCTCCTCTGGGTTTCAGAAGGGGAAGAAATTAACTCAGATACTGGTAGCTGGAAACCTTATTAAAAAAAAATTGTTTCTAGTGCAGCAGTTGGTTAGAGTAAAGAACCTCCAAGTCCAGGGGCTTTAAGTGTGTGTGTGTGTGTGTGTGTGTGTTAACTGCTCAGTTGTGTCTAACTCTTTGCGACCCTATGGACTGTAGTCCACTAGGTTCCTCTGTCCATGGAATTTACCAGGCAAGAATACTGGAGTGGTTGCCATTCCCTTCTCCAGCAGATCTTCCCAACCCAGGGATCGAACCCGGATCTCCTGCTTTGCAGGTAGATTCTTTACCATTTGAGTCACCAGGGAAGCCCTTTAAGTACTTATGAAAAGTCAAAGCAAAAGGGAAAATTTTGTAAAAATAATAAGTGCTTATGAATCTGACAGCTTTCAACTGATCTCTGCTGCAGTCTCCCCTCCCCGGCCCCCCTCGAGTGTCTGGTATCCATTCCTGAGCTATTTTGTGCACACTGGACTGGCAGCTTTTCACACTGCCAGCTTCAGGTTTGGCTTTCTTGAATGCGTGGGCTGTTATCACTTGTTTATCTGTTTTCCAGACTCTAGAATCCTGATGGTGGTTTCTCCTCTGGGTTTCAGAAGGGGAAGAAATTAACTCAGATACTGGTAGCTGGAAACCTTATTAAAAAAAAATTGTTTCTAGTGCAGCAGTTGGTTAGAGTAAAGAACCTCCAAGTCCAGGGGCTTTAAGTGTGTGTGTGTGTGTGTGTGTGTGTTAACTGCTCAGTTGTGTCTAACTCTTTGCGACCCTATGGACTGTAGTCCACTAGGTTCCTCTGTCCATGGAATTTACCAGGCAAGAATACTGGAGTGGTTGCCATTCCCTTCTCCAGCAGATCTTCCCAACCCAGGGATCGAACCCGGATCTCCTGCTTTGCAGGTAGATTCTTTACCATTTGAGTCACCAGGGAAGCCCTTTAAGTACTTATGAAAAGTCAAAGCAAAAGGGAAAATTTTGTAAAAATAATAAGTGCTTATGAATCAGAGTTACTATAGACAAAAGTAGCAAATGTAGATTGATGCATATGAGAATTTATTTATAAAGTGTAAACAGAAATGATCTGGGCTACATCATCTAGGAAGGAGACCTGAGAATGGGTGTAGATCTCTTTCTGGGGCCCTGTGTATCTGGGACCCTTCACGTGGCTCTGGTTCCCTGCTACGAGGAAATGCAGTGGGGCTGAGGAAGCTTTGAGCAGGGAGACATGTTGGTGTTACAAGCGCAGGTGGTAAGCACTGGGATGCTTGAGCCCAGAATGCAAGAGGTGACATATCTCAGCTTAAAACCATGGCCAGTCTGGAGAAAGCAGGTGTGAACCTGGGTGTCAGATCCTGAGCTGGTGGGAGGAGAGGGTTGCTCTCAAACCTGGAGCAGGTAAGCCCAGCTCAAATAGAAGAAAGCACAATTTACCATGGTAGGCCAGATATCTTGGGAGCTATTTACAAGTGACTCTTCGGGCAGATGGCTTAATTCCATAGGTGGGTGGATAAATGAATGGCAGCATGGTCCCCCCCACCTCTCCCCACACACACACAAGAGGAGAGGCTTCTGAGAAATACTGGAGATACTGACACACACATAACCCATAATTTAGACACTGCAGAGAGCAGTGTGCTCTCACTGGGATGGATGGAGAATGGGGCAGCTTAGAGTAGCAGGAAAAACTCTACCTGAATTAAGAAGATCTGAGTTCAAATCCTGACTCCTCAGCTTCCTCGCCATGCGGCCTTGAGCAAGTGCCTAGCCTTGCTTACCCTCACAAGGTTCTGGTGAAAGCTTGTTCCATAACCTATGGAACAAAGCAGGTTAGCCAGCCCTGAACTGAACTGGCTGGGTTTTAGTTGGACACATACTTGCTGAGCCCTCTCAAATACCAGGCTGTGTGCATATATCTCCCCTATTCTAGAAAGGCTCATGAAGTGAAGGCGCAGCTCTGCTCTATCCTGCAGACCTTCCTCAGGATGGCGGGAGGCTGTGAAGGTGAGCGTCCCTGTTCCCTAGCCCCGTGTCCTCTCCCGGTCGCAGAGCGTGTGACAGGAGAGAGTATCCAGGCCCTGCCTTGGCCCGAGCCCCTGATCCTGTCTCAGCAGACACCCCCCAGTTCCCTCCTAGCCACTTACCTAGTAAACAGGCAAGTTTTCACAAGCTACTGTGTGACACCAGATGGTGACAGTGTGGTTGGCCGGCACTTCCGCTTCTCATTCCCTTGTTTCTCTTGAGAGTCTCTAGATGCGCAGCTCTGGAACAGGAGAGTTGAAGTTTTGAGAGGGAAGTGGGGGCATTGGGAAGGAGGGACACTGTGACACAGTGGGTGTTTGGGGTCACTCCCCTCCTATGGAAAAATATGTCCCTAGCTTCCGAGTGCCTACATCGTATGATTAATTATGGTCACCTCAGATCAGGGCATGCCTCCTGGAGGCCTGTTGCGTTCCCCATTCCCTAGCATCTGGCCAGAGAGGTTCCACGATGTTGCTCCAGTATGCATGTCAGCACTTGCCTGCCTGGCGGTGACCACTGCACCTGCCCTTCCAAACTCCAGCTGTCAAGATACCTCCGTGTCACTCACAGATTTTCGTGGCCTCAATTAAACTTTCCTTTGGTCCACCCTTCAACGACATTGCAAGCTTTATTTGAATCAATGCCCAGCCTCCTTTCCTTGAAGGCTGTGATGATGGTGGTGGGAGGTCTGATCCATCCTTCCTCTCCCCTCGCCTCTGCCATCAGCACCTGTCTAACTTCGACCCTGTTTCTTTCCTTTTCCAGAACTCACATGCTGCGTGTCAGACTGAGCTATTGCTGTTTAATCCTATAATCCAAGACTTGCTACACCGTCCTGCTGATGTCCATAGCCATGCCCGGGAAGGAGGCAGCCCCATTCCCAGCGTATCCCGGGGGAGACCTCCGCGTGCACCCCATGGAGCCTTGATCAGGCCGGGGAAGAGACTGCAGGAGCACACGTCCCCAAAGCTGCGTCTCCTCTTGTGAATCAGTGTCCCCTTGCTTTCCTCTAGAGACCTCGCTGCCCCAGAGCGGGACCTGCCTGGGGAATTGAGGGGCTGGGGGAGCTACTCCGAGACCTCCTTCTCTGGCACTCTGAACCCCGGGCACCATGGCTCCGGGGCAGTGGGGCTGCTGCAGGCTCAGAGCCGCTGCCGCCCTGCATGTGCCAGCTTCGCTCTGTCGTCGGCTGTGTCAGTGTGGACTTGAGGGATACGGCATGTTTCTAAATGGATTTTTCTTAAGAAATGTGCCATTGTTGATATAGTTCAGGATGTTCCCCCCATCCCAGCTGTCACTGTCCCTCGGCTTTTTCTCAGTAGGCTTCATTCCCCATTTTTTTTAGTGGGGAAATTTTGTCCTTCACCCCCTGCATCCTGTATTTGTCCTCCTACCTTCATCCCTCCCAGGTAAGAATTACCTGTGGTTCTGACAAAAGACAAGCAAATCATCTTTGGGAAGCCTGTGGACTCTCTATATCATCCGTGCTTTGTTGTTGGAAAGAGGCTGGCATTCTCTTGGTTTTGCTTAGTCCCAGGCAGTCCAGCGAGAGCAGGTATTAACGTGAGCTGAGCATGTGTATCACGGTGACCAGCCGTCATGTCCTGCCCTGTTTCTTCACAGCCAGACCAGCCGCTGCGGCCAGGTTGGTCCTTCTAGGACTCTCATCCAGGTTAATTTTAAGCAGGTGGAGTCTGTGTGGCCTGTAAGGTGAAGTAAGAGAGCTGTGTCTGCAGGTGAGTCTGTGTGGAAGCCCCGCCTCCACCACCCTGGCAACCCGGCCATTTCTGTGAGCACCTGTGCCTAGACCCCCGGAGACCTGTCTGTGACACTGTTTCTGCTGTCTGCCCTGGTATAGGCCCTGCCGTTGTCACAGGGGGGCCGCTCTGCCCTCTGTGTACACAGCTGCAGGGACAGGAAAAACTTAATGCCCCATTTGCTCCCCGAGCAGATGTGAGTCTGCTGCTTCCCTGCCTTTGCAGGGACAGGCTGCAGGGCACAGGGTCACAGCAGCATGAAAAACAATGGGAGTTGCATAAAGAAAAAAAAGAAAAAAAGAAAAACAATGGGAGTGTGGCCTCCCTGCGGTCCCTGGAGCGTGTGGCCAGAGACAAACTGGGTGGCTGACAGCAGGTGCCTCGAACGGCCAGCTGCTTGCAGGACAAAGTGTCTCCAAATGAGCTGAATGCCTACCCCCCTCTGCCCCCCCGCCACCCAGGCAGAGTGAGGTTTCCCTAAAATGACCACGACGCTCCAGATGTCTGGTCATTGCAGGCTGGGCTCAGCTCAGCAGAGGACGTGATGCGTGATGACTGAGGGTGACGCTCGAAGCACGCGCTGCCTTTTCCTTTTCCAGTCTCGCAGGCACTGTGGCTTCTCTCCCCAGGAGGGGTTGGCTCTTATCTTAGTTTCTGAGGGATGACCCCGGGGACATTCTCACCACTGCCAACTCTTGGAGCTGTTCCGGGTTTTGGCTTGGGGCCCCATGGGTGGGCCTGTGTCGGATGCTCAGTGAGCCGGGTGGGGTGGCAGACATCGCCCTCGGGGTCCCACAGAGAAGCTCCTTCTGGAAAGCCCCAGGGGGAGAGAAGGCAGCTGGCTCTCGCATCACCAGCCACGTGCCACGTCCTCTAAAGAAAGAGACGCAACCAAGCTGTGTGCCCATGCCCTGCCCTGGATTTGCTGCGATAGATACAGAATGTGGAATGATTCCTTCACCTTGTCCCTGTCCTCTCCTGACCCACATGGGACCATGACTCGTGGTTAAAGGAGCCATTAGCCGCCTGTGACTTTGCTGCCCACTTGTTGGGGAGAGACCCTCCTTCGCCAGGCGAGGAGCTTTGGAGACCGGGGCCAGGCCGGGGCTGCAGGAAGAACAGGGAGGCCCAGGCCGGCTCCAGTTCATGCTTAAATGTGGGACAAGTGCACCCCAGCAGCTCTCCCTTCATTGTGTGGTGAAAACTCCCAGTTCCGCAGCCCCGCCCTCCTACAGGAGGGTTCCTGGCTAAGATCTCTGGCTCCCACTTCATCTCGGGAAAGCCCCCCAGCACTGAACCTTCAGGGACTGGAGGATGGACACCAAGGAGCCTCTAGTATCTGTCGTTGCCAAGTGAGCAGTTGGTGCCGAGAGGCTTTCCCGGCCAGCCCCTTTGTTGGGGCCACAGTGTCACTGTTGTGGGCGTCAGTAGCACGTCAGCACTGTGAGCAGCGAGCGTGTGGGTGACACCCAACACCCAGCTGCAGGTTTCCCAGCAGACGTGCCCAGGGCTGCCGTGCACCCTTGGAGAAGGACACTGAAGGACACTGAGGCCCGAGAGTCAGCCTCCCTTCCCCTGTCACCCCCGCCCACCCCGCAGTGGTGCAGGAGAGGACACAACTGCTTTCTAGCTTGCCTTTCATGATTCTGCCTTGTCCACGGCCTGGGTTCTATCAGTCAGCATCCAACCAAGAAAACCAGAGAAGTCTATTTAAAACAGAGGGGCTTTAATCCAGGAAATTGTTTAAATGAGAAATAAGAAGGCCTGAGACACTACTGAGGGGTAACCGGAAACAGGGACCCACAGAGCTGGTGGGACCAGATCCTGGGGCTCAGGCCACTGGGTGGGGCCTGGGTCTGTAGAGGGCCTATGTGGTGGGAGCTGGAGCCATGAGGAGACCTGGGCCCTGCCAGAAACATACCCCCCACGCCCCGCCCCAGGCAAAGAGGGAGCAGAATTAGCGTGGCTTCTCCCTTCCCCACGCCCTCCAGATTTCTGCGTTAGCTAAATGCAGCTGGAAGCCAGCTGACCTGGGAGCTTGGGACAGGCCACCTGCAGTCAATCCCCCAGCTCTTAGAGCAGAGCAGGGGAAGGCAAGTGGTGGGTCAGAGGGCAAGCAGCCCCAGGACATGTGTGGCCTTGGTCCGCTCTCTGTCACATCCAAGCCCACTGTGGATTCCCCATGCTGTCCCAAGACCCCGGTGAGTGGAGGTGGAGGTAGCTGCCCTGGTGGACTTCTGTAGGTTCTCTTTGACTCTGCTTGGGAGGAAAGTGCTTTGGGGAGGTGGGGGAGGGGTTTTATTCATAACAGTTATCCCAGTTCTCCTTTGGGGGAATTTACTCATTTAGCAGACCCACCTCGCCTGTCCCCTCAGGGAGGCTGTGTCCCAGTTTTCTGTCCATCCCGGCCCATTCCTCTTCCCCCAGTCTCTGGTTTCTCTGCTGGAGAACACCCACCCAGACCACGCATCAGTGGTCATGAGTGTTTCCCCAGGATAATTCATTCAGCGTGTGCTATTACAGAGTGGTCTGTCTGTAAGTAGATGTCATCCACTGATCAATTTGTATCCTGTTTCCAATAAACTTCTGGAAATTCTGCCTGGTTTTATGCTGCCCTTTGCTGGGACAGTGGCTCAGCTGTAAGCTGGGTGCAGGGGCAGGCCCCCCCAGCCCCCAGCCCTCAGCCCTAGGTGCTTCCTCCCCTGACCTCCTCTGGGGTCAGGCCCATCAGTCTGACATCCCCGCCCCAGCTACACGGAGGTGCTCGGAGGCCTTTCCCCAAGGTTGGCACTTTCTTCTCTCATAAGCCACAGTCTGAGGACATGGCGGTTTTATGAGGCTGAGCTGCGCCAGAGGTGGCTTTGACCCTGTGTCCCCTAGGCCTGGAGGTGGGAGAAGCCACAGGCAGACCTCTCTCCATCAATCCCCTTCGCACTGCTGTGCTAGAGCCAGGTGGCGGGGACGTGTGCGGGGCTGCTCCCATGGTGATGTGCTGCACTCCATCCAGGGGGTTGACAGGAAGGCTCCCGTGCCAGTGAGGTGGGTGCAGGAGCTGCAGGTGACACAGATGAAGCCCAGCGCCCTCGTCTACATCCCACCCTCCTCAGCTCTCAGAGTTGGAAACCAACATGTTTGAATTGACCTAAAAGGCATTGGGAGCCTGATCTGAATGCCCAGCATCCTTCAGTGTTTCCCAGGCTCCCGAGTGTGAAAGCAGCTTGGTAGAAATTACTCTCTGTTGAGTATTTTACTGGTTCAAACCTTTTTGACTGCGGTGTAGACTCTGCCTCAGTGGCTGTACTGGGCCCATCATTGTAGGGTCCCTGGGACGCCTCCAGCCTGTGCTTTTGAAGCATGCCTGTTTGCAACCCTTGTTTGCTAAGACTTGAGAGAGATGTAAAAAGAAAAGAGACTGAATTCCTTCCTTTCAAGAGGTTCACTAGAGAAGCAAGACATCCATGCGCGATGTTACAGGACACTAGAAAAGGTTGTAGAGGAGGCAAGGCCCTGCCAGTCCTTGCAGAAGTCCCAAGAGAAGCGGGCTCAGCAAGGCTGGATGGGGCAGAGCGGGCTCTGTGGAAGCAGAGGGACCCTCAAAGTGCAAGCCAGCAGCCCTGTCTCTGTGAAATCCCTAACGCCCTGGTTCTTGGTGTCTTTTTATTGAGACTTAATCCTGACTCAAGTGTCTTCCTCTTTCTGGAAGCTCACCTATAGAGTGCCATGTGCCCTGTCTTTCAACGGGTACCAGCCTTAAGATCCATTGCCAGGACTGGGTTTTTATAGTTAAGAGGTTTCCATTTGTCCTGCTCTTGCTCCTGGACTAATTGCAGGGGGTTATTGGAGGAAACCATTTAGCCTGCAGGGACCACCCCAGAGGTGTGAGTGACAGCCTCACCAGGCCTCTCTGGGCTGCTTGCTGAGCTGGCCCATTTATATGTCCTTTGGGAGCTTGTTTTCTTATTCCCAGAACCAGCTGTTCTAACCCTGATTACCCTTGAAGCTCTCACCCCCTGAGAGCCAAGTCTTCTAAGAATCCCTTCACCTGTGTTCCCCTTCACTGCAGGACCTTCCACCAGCCCATGGAGGTGCCCTTCGGCCTCTGGAGAACCCTCCTGGTACCCACATGTTGGGTCGTTTCCCGCCCCCCTCTCCCTCCTTAGAGGCTTGCAGTAGAGTGTCTTGACTCAGGTCAGACTGCCACTTACTACTGGATGACCTTGGGCAAGTTACTCAACCTCTCTGTGCCTCAGTTTATTCGTCTGTAAGATGGGATCATAGTATGTACCTCACAGAACTAACTAAATTAGTGTGTGTAAAGTGTTTTGCATGGGGCCTGGGACAGAGTGATTGTTATTGCTCTGTCATCATCCTCTCCCCGCTGCCCTCATCTTCACCCTCTCTCCCTTCTCAGGCCGCTTAAACTTCCCCATCCAGTCAACAGAACAAAACAGGCAAACCACCACAGGTCCTCTCTTAGCTTCGCCTGAAGCTCTTGTCTTATCTCCCTTTACTAGCAAACTTGTTTAAAGAAGAAAGACTTATCTCCCTTCCTTGAAGTCTCATTGATTTCTCAACACAGTACAGGCCTTTATGGCTTCCATTCTGCCCCACCCCAGCCACCCACTGAGATTGCCATCGTGAGGTCACCAGAGACCTAATTGCTACATCCAGCCCATCTTGCGGTCACCCTCTGAGCTTTCTTGAGCACTTGACGTGGTTGTCATCATGTTACTTGTCTTTGTTACTCTTCATTACACTCACTCCTTTATTCTCTACCCAGAGCAACACTGAGCCACATTCAAATATTACTTAGAGTCATTTCCCAGGGATTTTTACAAAGATAAATTTCAGAATAGTAGTAGTCCCCTGTGAAAAGAAAGCACTTTCCTTAATTTGGTGTTTCTCATTCCAGTGTATGATTTTATACAATGACTACATACGTATGAATCCATAACCAATATGGAGCATTTTGCATATAATTAAATTTTATGCAGACAATAACCTATCACTTCTTGAAAAGCTATTTTTAATAGCACAGACTATGCTGTGTTAATCCAGGGTGTCAGTACAGGAAGCTTGACCAGACAGTGTCAGACACACACGTTGGTTCTCACATCAGCTTTCTTCAGCATGCAATTAGGAATTTTGAAAATACTGAGGCACTTTGCAGTCTGTCTGGGTATTTTATGTTTGGCTTTTACCCTCGTAAAAGATGGCTGTAGTGTATTCCTTTAATTTTTTTTTTTTTTTCACTTCTTTCATGCTCTTTTTTAAATTGCTGCATTCCTGATTTCCTTCCTATTTAAAGGTTTCTTCTGGGCATTTCACCAGGTCTTCCTTTGTGTGTCCTTTACTTGTGGGGATTTTTTTTAAGGATGGTTCTTGGTCCTCTTCACTCTTCCCCAGGTGACCTCAACCATTCCTTGTAAGAGGTCAGCTCCCACTAGTGAGAGGAAGAGTCTGAAATGCTGTTTCCAGTCCTAAGTGTGCTGCTTCCTTGCCTGCAGGTCCTCCAAGCTCCTCCAACTTGTCTTAACCGTATCTTCTCCTCCGAACTGCCTGCAGCCCCTGTTTCTCCAGTATGTCACTCGCCATCCGTCACCCACAGAGTCACCTCTCTTCCCGACCTGGGCTGCGCCTCTGTACCTGTGTGCTGTCTGCCGCTGCCCTTGCTTGGAACACAGGCTGTTTCCCACTCAGGTTGCCTCCCCTACCTCTCACCAGTCTGTCCAGCTGTTACCAGAGTAACTACTGACCAAAATGTAAGACTGGGGTTTCCCTGGTGGTTCAGTGGGTTAAGAGTCCACTTGCCAATGCAGGAGACACAGGTTCGATCCCTAGTCCAGGAAGATTCCGAAATCCTGCAAGCAGCTAAGCCCGTGAATCGTAACTACTGAGCCCACATGCCCTAGAGCCCATGCTCCACAAGAGAAGCCACTGCAATAAGAAGTCTGCGCACCGCAACTAGAGGACAGCCCCATGCTCGCCGCAACTAGAAAAAGCCCGAGTGTAGCACTGGAGACCCAGCCAAAAAAGAAAAATAAGCAAGGCTGATCATCGTTGACTTCCTGGAAACCTCACACACACTTGCTTTCCTGCTGGATTGTCCTGCGCTCGCAGGGCCCAGCCCTCCTCTCCCGCTGTCCCCTGACTCCATCCCTAGGCTTCCCGCTCCCTTGGCTCGCTGCTCTCCTCACCCTCCGCGTGCCCACCGGCTCTTCTCACAGCTCCATGCCCTTGTTCACGCCCTCCCCTCTGCCATGGGTGTGTTCCCTTTGCTCCTTTCCTCGTCCTCCACATGGAGCGCACGCGCGCCCCCTCACTCCCGCCCCAACCCTGTGCTGCCGTGCTCATTGGTGTGTGACTTCCTCCAGATCCCCCTGGCGTGGGTTGCCTCTGATCTGTTTGCAGGTCTGTCTCTCCCAGGCTTGGCCCAGAGGCGCTCAAGGTCAGAGGCGTATCATCTGCCTTTGTGGCTTGGGGTCTGGGCCATGGTGTGTGCCTAGCAAGTGCGTGATTAGTGGCTTCAGGCCTGTCAGCCCCATCATGCCTGCCTGCCCCCTGCACATGAGTCCCTGGGGTAAAGTCACGGAAGCCATTTTTTCATCCCTTAGGGGGTCAGCGGGTCACATGAGAAAGAGGACAGACGTGCTGCCTAACACGTACACTGAAAAGTGCAGTCCACCCCAAGGGACCAAAATGCTGCTTAGAATCCAAATGTAGGAAATAGGGTCTTTACTCAGCCTGTCTCCAGCCTACCTTATTCCACCATGGCGGCTACTCTCCCATCGGTAGGAAACCCTGCCCTTCAGCAGTTTGCTCTCTCCCCCCCCACCTCCCCGATCCCTTCTTACCCCCTCTCCCTTCAGCAGTTTGCTCTCTCCTCCCCGATCCCTTCTTACCCCCTCTCCCTTCCCTTCACCCCCATTATAACTCTAGTCCTCATTCAGTGCTCAACATATGAGGTATTTCCATCTCCAACCCCTGGAGTTGAGCAAGGGCCAGGATCAGTGTTCCCATTTCACAGATGGAGAACCAAGTCCAGGAGAGGGGTTTACTGTGGGTTGGGACCAAGGTCAGGACCAAGGGGTCCTTCCATGCAGGGAGTGTGTGAAGGCAGCCTGAAGCCCCGCTTCTCTCCCTTGTGGGGACACCCAGACCCCCTTTAGAGAGTGCCTCGTCGGTGGGGAGAGCGGCCGTCAGCTTCAAGGTGAGGGGCAGGGAGGACCCAGGCAGGTGCAGGGTTGTGGGCCCAAAGCCTGTGATCAGCATCTACCTGGGACCCCTCGAGGGGAAGGGGCGGCAGTGACAGGCTACGGGCACCGTCAAGTCCCTTCTCTTACATGAAGTCAGGCGAGTGAGCCCAGCTCCTGAGGGGCGAGAGGACATGGCGGTGTGGAGGGTAAGGGTCCAGGGAAGGGAGGACCAAGGAAAGGGAGGCAGAGGGAGCCCTGTTGGCCACTAGAGCTGCTCAGCCACCAGACAGGTACAAACGCGGGGATAGACGGTGCCAGAAGGAAGGTGCCGGGTGCTCACGCAGAGCACAGTATATATTAGTGCCCCCTGGAGGTGGGGGCTTCTTGAGAGAGTGCTTAAATCTCAGACTCCAGGAGCATTTGGTCTGACTTAGAAATGACGAATCTCAGGCCAAGGGTGGCCAGCTCCTTCCCGTGGCAGCAGAGGGTGGGGAGTCCTAGGAGCGGCTCTCCCGTGAGAGGCAACAGCATAGTGGAGGGATGGAGCAGGGTCCATGTAGGGCAGAGATGCCCGAGGAGCCCCTTGGAGGGACCCAGGTGGCACAGCCCTGGCCATCACTGCGTTTGGCTTCTCAGTATCTCTGTGGGTTTCTGACAGTAGTTGCTGAGTTTTCAGGAATGGGAAAAGCGGATGGAGACACACTGGGAGGTGGGTTTTAATACCCACCCAACTTGTCCCCCAGGCCACCTCCCCCTGCCTGACACAGTCTATCTCCCACCATAACATTCACATGGCATCCATGTGCCTCCCTCCTGGGACATGAGTGACTCTCCTCGGACTGGCCACCACTCTTGAGGACTTTTAACTGAGGAAGGGCATCCCTGTCCATGATATCAGAGGGTTGAGCTGAGAAGATGAAAACAGGTGGAGAGAGGGGGCTTGCTCCCGTTGTCAGACCCTGTATCTGAGGGCCAGGGGTCTGTGACTGGGGTGATGAGTAGGGAAAACATCCCAGGCCCTTCTGTCCCCCTCAGTGGGGAGAGGGTGTGTGTACTGGGGGCAGATGTTCATTTTCCTGAGATGGCTAGGGTTGGAGATGCATGGGGTTCAGGAGGAGCATATTTGGGGCTTTGGTGACCTCTGAATAGCCCTTTGGAAGCCTTGAAAGCCATGCACCCCCAATGACTTCCACTGTAGGGAAAACCACTACATGTGCCCCACCCCCTAAAAGAAACCCTTAATTCATGCCAGGTACACATCTTGTGCCTGGGGAGCCCCAGGTCAACAGATGGGTTAGCCCAGATGGTCTCAGACGCTGACACAGGCATATGGAATAGAACAGGAACGAGGAGAGGTGGGCAAGATGGCTCTGGTCCTGGGGGAGGGCAGTGAGCTGGCTCTGGTGACTGGAGGACCCTTCCTGTCCTGGTGGGTAGCAGTCACCACAGATTCCAGGGCCAGGAAAGGGTACTTGGGGCTAAGAAAAGCCAGGGGACGGGGTCCAGGAGCCTGAACTGGGTGGAGATGATAACTTCCCAGGCCGAAGATCCCCACATTGTCCCAGAGGAGAGCAGGGTGGGGGCCTCCTGGGGATCCAGGTGGGCCACCCATCCTGGGAGCCTGAGGACCTCTCCTAGGGAGTTTTCTGACTTTAAGGACATATGGGGCTCCAGGATTCCTGTGGAAGAATGGTGCCCTGGATAGCTTCTCCACTCTGTCCCCAGAGTGTCCCTTCATCTTAGGGAACTCACTTTGAACCTTCCTGATGCCAGATGAACGTGCAGATACTTACTGGTTTTCCTTAGATCAGTTGAGATAGGCTTGAATTTTCAAAAGGCAGTTTATTAGTATTGAAAAAAAAAAAAAAACAACAACCAACTGGAGATCGTAGGAAAAACAGCTGTCCAATTTTGTAAAAGACCCTGATGCTAGGAAAGATTGAGGGCAACAGGAGAAGAGGGTGACAGAGGATGAGATGGTTAGATGGCATCACTGACTCAATGCACAAGAGTTTGAGCAAACTCTGGGAGATAGTGAAGAACAGGGAAGCCTGTTGTGCTGCAGTCCATGGGGTCACAAACAGTTGGACATGACCTGGCAACTGAACAACAACAAAATTTCTAAAAGAAGACTTCTGCTCTCACAGTTCCCTGGCTCTGACCTGGGACAAGGCAGCTGGGGCCCAGTGCTGAGCTGGCAGTCCCTGGCTATTTCCACCTGCCGTCGTGCTCTATGCTGTCAGGACATCATCCCCACGACATCAGACACACGACTCCAAGCCCAGGCCCTCTTCTCTCCCTGCCACCCACCTGGCTCCTGCAGAGGTCCTTTGTCTGGTCGGCTGAGGGGCCCTTGCTGGCAACCGTCCAGGGACGAACCCTGGCCCTCCAGCCCAGGACCAGGCATTCCTCCGTCCTGAGGCACCCGCAGCAGAACCCCAGTTCTGGGAGGGGCCTTCCTGGTCAGTCTTCCTCCGAGACCTCCGCCTGCAGCCTCCCTGTGGCCGCCGCCTTCCTAGAGCACGCCCTGCGCCCGGCGGAGGGCCAGTAGGTGCTCTTGTCGCTGTCTGAGCCTTGCCAGCCCTGGGCGAGGCCCAGCAGCGCCCACCCCTGGCGGAGGAAGCTGGGGCTGGAGAAGCAATAGAGCACGGGGTCTAGGACGCTGTTGAGGTAGGTGAAGGCCAGGGAGCCGTGGAAGAGCTGCGAGCAGAGATCCAGGGCGCGGCAGGCACGCAGGCGGAAGGCCACGATGGAAGCGACGCCGAAGACCACGCTAGGCAGGAAGCAGACGGTGTAGACGCCCACCACGGCGGCGAGGACGCGCATGGCCCTCCGCGGGCCCGCCTGCCCATCCAGGCCTCGGCGGCGGATGGTGAGCGTGATGCTCACGATGGCAAAGAGGATGAGTGCCAGCGGCAGGAAAAACTCCACCACGAACAGGGCCTGGTGCCATCTGAGTGAGGCCGAGGGTCTCGTGCCCAGCCAGTAACTGAGGCAGGACCGGCTGGAGTGGGTGGTCAGCAGCAGGTGCCCGTTGAGGAGCAGGAGTGCCCCCCAGAGACCCCCGGCCACGCGGGCAGCGCCCCCAACCGAGGCCCTGCTCAGCGCGTGGTGTGGCCGCGCCACCTTCAGGTAGCGGTTGAGCGCCACGGCCGTGAGGAAGACCACGCTGGCCGTGCGGTTGGTGGCGATCATGAACAGGTTGACTTTGCAGGCAGTGTCACCAAAGCGCCAGGTCTCTTGGAGGAGGTAGTAATCGACGCGAAGGGGCAGGTTGAGGATCAGGAGGAAATCCGCGACCACCAGGCTGACCAGGAACACGGTGTTGGACGTCCAGGGCCGTGTGCGCAAGCAGAAGATTAGTAAGGCCAGGCTGTTCCCCACCAGGCCCAGGACAAACTCCATGCCCAGGACTGGCGCCAGGAGGGCAGACACGATGGAGGAGGAGGCCGGGTGGCAAGAAGCAGTGGCCTCTCCAGGTGACTCCAAGGCAGTGGTCAGGGCCGAAGGAGAGGAGGACAGGGGAGAGGGAGGGAGGGAGAGAGGGAGCCAGGGGGGAGAGGGAGGGAGGGAGAGAGGGAGCCAGGGGGGAGAGAGAGAAGGAAGGGGAGAGGGGTGGCTCAGGNGGGGAGAGGGAGGGAGGGAGAAAGGGAGCCAGGGGGGAGAGAGAGAAGGAAGGGGAGAGGGGTGGCTCAGGTTAGGAAATCCCATGGGCTGCTTGGGCCGTGGACCTGAGAGACGTTTCTCCAGCTGTCCGACCCCTGCGCAATTGCGCGGGGGTCAGTGCTCGCTATCAGCTGGCCAGCACAATGACTCAATATCCTGGGGGTTTCATCATTCTCCTTGCAGCCACCAAGAAACACCCTGTGTTCCTATTTGCACGCGAAGAGGAACCCTGCTGCTCCCCCTCCCTCTCCACCTCCCCGGAGTAGAGAGCGGCCAGCCTGTGAGGTCTCTAAGCCGAGCCTCAGACTGGAGCCTGCATTGCCTCTGGCACCCAGGGTAAGGGTTCTGCAGGACGAGTGGAGGTCCAGAGGAGCCCTGAAGCAGGAGGAAGGCCCGGCTGGGGTGTGGTCGGGGAGCCTGTTTACAGCCCTGAGTGGCCAGACATTTGCTTGCCTGAAGGCAGGAGCTGGTCCTGCCTGACAAGTCACAGCTCTCGGGACCATGCAGGCCACCCTGGGTCCCCACCCCACTCCCATCACAGATACAGACTGGGTGGCTCCCTGCCCCCACCAACTCTGGCAGCAAGGACTGTGGAGCCAACAAGATGTTGTCCTGGGAGAAGGAGGCGGACGGTCCAGTCGACACCTTGACCGTTATGCTCACTGCCTAGTGGGAACAGCCTGCTGTCCTGATTCTCAGATTCCTGACAATTCCAGAGTCTGTGATGGTCCCAGGTCCACATCCATGATGAAGTACATCCCACGTGCAGAGGGCTCCCCTGCCAAGTTTCTACTGCCATGCCCTGGGCACCTGGGGGCTTCTCCCACAAACAGAACAGTCCTGAGAATCCTCGAGTTGCCTTGCCACTGTTCATCCCACTTGGTGGGCCATCACCCAGTATTCACTACAGAGACAGGAGCAGAAGGCTGGGGCTGGTTTCAGACAAGGTCTAAATCCTGTTCTCCCACTGCATGGTGTTCTCATGAGTCCATGGGGCCAGGCCTGTGGGCAGAGATGGAGTAACCTGGGACAGCACCAAGACATGCTGTGGTTCCAGGCTCTAGGATCAGACCCCCCCACCCAGCCCCCACCCCGGCTGCCCCTGTGCTAAATGACTGTGGTCAGCAGATGCCCTGTGCTGCCAGCTCAGTCTGAGTCTTGGGGTTTCAGACAGTGGACACTGGCCTCTCTCCCCAGACACCACCCCCCAACCCCGTCAAGCCTCTCCCCTGCCCTGGGCTCCCACTGACCAAGGCTGAGGGCAGATAGGGTGTAGGGTGGTGGGACCACCAGCCTGAGCTTTGAATGCAGACAAGCCTGGGTTGGAAACAGAGCTGCCTGCCTTCCAAAGCTGTCTAAGCCTCAACTGTAAGACATGGTGTCACCACTTTCTTAGGCAGTTGTAAGGATTCAGTGAGGTCATTTCTGTAAAAACTTCTGGCAAATTCCCTGGCACAGAGTTGGTGGTCAGAAAAACAGGGGACCTAATTTTCATGATTTTCTGTCTTGGATTAAACACATCCTTAGAACTAGGGGACTCTCCTTGTGGCCATCTGGGCGCACAAGATGGGGGGGTCCTCCTGGGACATTGATGTTCCCTCTTCGGCTCCTGTACAGAGGAACGCGTCACTGCCCTAGAGTGGTAGAAAGGTAGGGGGAGGCTGCTGGTGTTTATTCCTGGCTGGCAGGAGAGGAAGTCCTCTAGAGGGGTGGTGGGTGAAGGTCCAGACACCCCTCAGGGACTTTCAGCAAAGTCAGGGTCTCCTTTGCCGGTTTGTCAGTGGAGGGGATCCAAGCAGTGAGCTGGCAGGCAGGTGTAGGGGAGGCGGGGTTCAGACCCAGGTTTTCCGGAGGAAGCCTAGACTCTACCCAGGGACCTGTTTCGTCCAGACACAGCTTCCGTTCCCTCAGCGAGCGACCCCTCACCAACTTCTCCTTGAAGTCCCAGGATACTGAGCCCCAATCTCCTGCTGAAGCTTCCATGATTCATCTCAACCCACTGCTGCATCCTCAACTCCCAAACTCCTGGGCCCCACGGGGGCCTGTACATAGAGGGGGGGGAGCAGGGGGATGGGGCCAGGTGGCCCTCCCCCTACCACCAAGCCCCTCTGAGGCTCGTCACAGTCTTCATGTATTAACTCCACCTGGGGGATTTTGTGTTTTTATGTATTTCTACATTTTCTACAATGAGCACAAATCATTTCTGTTATTGGGGAGAAAAATGCTCAACAGATGCTATTTCTTAAAGAATAAGTGAGAAAGAGGCAGAGAGACCAGCTATGCCCCCAGGACAGGCACAGCAGCACGCATGGAGGGGCACACACAGCCCGAGCACTTCTCTAAGCAAGCAGGGGGACTCGATCCCAGAGCTTCCACACGTCCATGGTCAGCTGGTGCCCCAGACCCCCCACATACACCCAGTCAGGGAGCACTCAGTGTCCGGCAGAGACCACAGGCCGTGTGTGTGCAGACCCACAGGCGCTTGTCGGCCAGCGAGCCTTTATTGAGGGCTTCTTGGCGGCAGGCAAGAGCTGCACTGAGCCTGTGGATGGAGGGCGGTGAGGAGCCGGCCCCAGGCAGCAGTCCACCCGGCAGAAGCGCGCAGGGCAGTGGGCTGAGGGCTCTTAGGGGAGAAGGACAGCTGCGGCCCCCAGGAACCTGGCAGCCTAGCCGAGAGGACAGGAAGAGAGTGGATGATGACCATGTCCAGGGCCCAGTCCAGGGGACACTGAGTCTCTGAGCAGCAGTGTACGTAGGAACAGTGGGGCTGGGAGAGTTACTTGGCCAGGGTGGGTGCTCTGGGCCCACAGTGGGAGGATCAGTCATCCCAGGGACTTCTTGCAGGCAGGATCCTGGGTCACAGACAGGGCTACGGAGCCTTGCCCTCGCTCCCAGCCATACCTGTGGAGATGCAGGTGGGCAGGGTCAGATAAGGCTGGGACCCCAGGGAAAGGAGGGCAGGTCCACGGCAGGGGGTGGATCCTCCCCGGAAACTCACAGAGTCCCAGCTGGCACCAGGAGGCTGTCATCAGGGGTCAGGCTCAGGCGCTGTCCTTCCATTGTCACCACTGAGGAGCCATCCTAGGAAAGAGGAGTAGAAGTGAATGGAGCCTGTTGGGCCACAACGCCTGTCTGAGCATCCCCGAGAGAGCTTTGGCAAGGAGGCCCTGGGAACTGGTCCATACTGTGGGCATCCAAGGCCCCAGAGCAGCCCGGTCCCCAGGTACAGGCAGGAGGCGTGCCACCCTCTCCCCCGGACCCCACTTGCCAGCTGCCACAGCCATACGTCCACGTCCTGTCTCAGGCCTTGGCTGCTGCCTTGTCCGTGGACCATCACCTGATGGGAAGTGACACAGGTCTTTCTGGTGCATCCTACCCCACGTAGGAGAGGGCTTTGAACCTGGCCCCCAGACACCAGCCATGTGTGGGGCAGGGGTGGGGCCCACAACACAGCCTCATTTCCGTATGCAGAGCAGAGGCCTGGTCTTAGAGAGGAAGGCTGCCCAGTCCCTCCCCACCCCCTTCCCGTCCCAGCCACCTGCTATTTGGGATCACACATGCCTGCCCTTCACATGCACATGGATATCTGCTCCCTCTGATGCTCAACACAGCTACTGCTGACCTGTATGGAGGCACGCCTACGAGGGACACACTAGGCATGTGTGTGAACACGGCACAGGGCAGAGCCACAGAGCACACACGTGAACTCCCCAGAGGATGCCCTTCTCCCTTCCTCTGTGTGATGTTTGCAGTCTGACCTAAGGAGGTGGAGGGAGTTGGGAGGGGATGAGCAAGAGGGACAGGGAGGCTGAGCCTCTCTGACCTGCATTAGCTCGGAAGCCCACAACCGCTGTGTGGGCCATGCTCCTACCAGCCCTGAGTGGGCCTCAGTAGATATTTGCTGGAGTGAATTGAAGCGGGGAGGAGGAGGCGGTGAGAGAATGGGGTGGGAGGGACTTGGTGGGGCGTGCTGGCTCTCATGGCCCTGTGTGAGCTCAGGGCTGGGCTGGCCAGGCCTCTTAGGGTAGGTCTGCATCCAGTGAGCGTCCCTCCACAGGGGTGTCTAATGCAAACTCCCAGGGATGTGACAGTGACCAGCTGTAAAGCACAAGCAAACGTGAGCCTCCTGGCAGGTCTCCACGTTGCCACACTCGCCCTGCTGATCTGGTCCTCACACAGGCCACAGTGATCTTTCTGAACCACCACTCTAGTCTGGTCACCCGCCCTGCTCAACACTTAGATGAAATTCTCTTGTCTCTAGCATAAGTCCTTGTGCCTTGCCCAGCCCAGGAGAGCTGCTCGCGCATGGGCACTGCTTGCTACGCTGGCCATCTAGCAGTTGTGCCTTCTGCCCCTACTTCCTGGGGAACCCTGTCCTGGTTCCCCAACTTCAGCTATTTGCAATGCCAGCCTGTTTCAAGCCTCCATGCCTTTACTCAGGCTTCTCCTTCCCCTGGAATGCATTCTCCATCTCCCTTTCTTTTGCAAACTCCTACAATAGGTTTAAAACTCAGCTTATACATCACCTTCTCCAAGAAGTTGTCCTGTCTTCCCTCACAGCCTGGTTCCTCCTTTATCGTCTAATGACTTCCTGTAGCTTCTCTACCACAGAACATATCACATAATCATGGCAATTGTTAATGAACTTTATCAGGCCATACACACTCTGAGGGAGTGACTCTATCTTATTTTCCTACTAAAGCCTAAAACGTAATAGACACTCAGTAAATGTTGAATGAAAGGAGACCAGCTTTGGGTCTCTGTGCAACACTCCACCCAACCCTCACCCCCAAATATCTCTCCCTCCTGGCTCCCAAGGCTATGATTGGCCAAAGGCCCAGAAGTCCTGGCAGGGGGATGACCCCAGACTCCCAGGAACCCCTCAGTGGATGGGGCAACCCCCTAATCCCTATTCT